ACACTCATTGCTCCTTTGGGATAGATTCTGCAACTGCACTCGATTTGGTGCCAAGTCACTATTGTACTGGTAATGCTGGACAAAGGCCTCTGCTAAATTCTTCCAGCTCCGAATATTGGCAGGTTCCAAACCCATGTACCACTCTAGAGAAGGCCCTGACAGACTATCTTGGAAGAAGTGCATAAGCAACTTCTCATCATCAGAGTATGCCGACATCCTTCGAAAATAGGAGCGGATATGCACCTTTGGACATGCCGTTCCTTTGTATTTATCGAAATCTGGTACTTTGAATTTTGGAGGAATCCTAAGTCCCGGAATCAGTCCCAGATTGGACATGTCAAGTCCCATAGTGTTCTGGTTTTCCAGAATGCTCTTCATCTTTTCTTCTATTTCATCAAACCTTCTATTAGTGTCGGATCGTAACCCTCCCCCAAGGTCTCTCATGGAGAAGATGTCATCCTTTTCATCTTGGTCCCATTGAGGATTCACGCTAGTAGGTATGGCGCCTGCCACAACTGGGATGGGGATTCCAGTTTGTTCTCTTCCGCCCGGAAGGTTGACTACAGTTGGGCCACCGTTGACTTGCGAGGTTCCACCATTAACAGGAGGGGGAATAGCAGCAGCCCCTCCGTGCAAAATGCCACTTCCATCCACTTGAGCTATTAAAGGTTGAACCAATGTCCTTAACTGGTCCTGTCCATTGGCCACCCCCTGCATCATCTCCATGAATTGCGACAGAGAACCCTACGGTAAACGTCAGCACTCGGGATAGGAGAAGGCCTACGCCTAACCACTCCACGACCATTCAAGTTTTTGATTATGAAAAGATTGAAAAATTCACTCGGTACGAGACCGAGGTTTTTTAGGTGACAAGGGTTGCGGGAGGAAGTTGTGAAAGGAGAGGTGGTGGAAGAAGTCGCGTCTTCGTATCGAAAGACGAGTGTCGAGACCACCCTCACTACAGTGGGCATCCCATCACTCGGAGAAGAAGAGGTCTACACCCAATCTTCTCTCTTTAATTCGATATAAAGAGAAATCAATTTATTATGGTTTGAAAATGGGCTCGGTACGAGACCGAGGTTTTAGGAGAGATGGTATGGAAACGTCTTCGTATTGAAAGACGAGCGTCGAAACCACCCTCACTACAGTGGGTATCCCATCGCTCGAAGAAGAAGAGGTCTATACCCAATCCTCTCTTTTTAATTCAATACAAAGAGTTGATTTTAAGGATATGAGATTTGAAAAAAGGATGGGAAGCGTCTTCGCATTGAAAGACGAGTGCCGAAACCACCCTCACTACAGTGGGCATCCCAACACTCGGAGAGGAAAAAAGTCTACACTTAATCCCCTCTTTTTAATTCAATACAAAGATAATTTGATTTTTGAAAATTGTTTGACAAAGTTTTTGAATCGAGTCGGGACAAGTAATGAAGAGAGAAAAGAGGTGGTCTCAGATCCAACATTACTTGTCAATAATTTGACTGGTAATGAATTACGGAGGTCTCGTCATCGACCAAAATCAGCAAAAATGGAACAAAATGTCCAACAACAAATGCAAAATAAAATCCAAAAATATACTAATATTATAGAAACTATATATAAAATATAATAAAGCTATAATATAATACATAGCAACAACCTATTCATAAAAATATATTTACATATTAAGAAATCAAACTAAAAAAAATAAAATAATAATAATTAGAAACTTAAATCATAACACAAAAATAATCCATTTGAATGAAAGGTGAGAGGGTGAATCCAATGGGGGGTGTGGACAGAGACTCAACAAGGGCCTTACGGCCCACTTATGTCCAACACAAACAAACAGATGGTGGATGTTCAAAGACATGAAAATGAGCTGCTCAACAAGTTATTGTAATCACTTAGAAAACAAAACGTGAAAGAAAGAAAAAAGAAAAAAAAACACAGAGAGATTGCTCAAAGCAAGCATCCCTACGAGCAACGGTCATGGATGGAAATCGGCTCAACATTTTCTCCCAAAATCGGATAAGCAAAAACAAAGATCAACAGCGCGATGCTCCCGACCTTTTCAATTTAACATGGAATCCCTCTTCTTGCTCGATTCAAACTTCACTCAGATTCAATTTATTTTCGTCCTTGTTTGTTTGTTCTTGAGTCGGGCCGCACTTCTACTTCATCTCATCTTCTCCGTCTATTTATTTTCTGCTCTAGTTCAGATTGATTTTCGATGTTGGTGAATGTCTGAATTTAGGATGTGACGAGGTTGAAGAGATAAAGGTGGTATGGGTTTCGTTAACGGGTGTTTGAAGGGTTCACGGTGGAAACAAAACGGGTATTGTCTGGGTTTAAAGGTTGTTGGTGTCTGAAATGGGTTGAAGAAAAAGAGATTTTGTCAAAATGATGATGAATGTTCGATGGATGAGAGTGGAAGGGGTTCTGGATGGAGGTTCGCTATGAAGGTTGAGATTTGCGGATTGGGTTAGTTTCACGGAGAAGAAAAGGAGATTGGTTTGGGTTGATGGAAACAGAAGCTCATGCGATGGTGTAGGTGCGTTTCTGGGTTCTGATTGAAGCTTGTTTGAGTGTATGTTGAGGTTGAGAGAAGAAAACAGGGTAAAATGAATCCTCTGCCATCAACAACATTGCATCGTGAAAACAATAGATGTGCGACGAAAACCAACATCTATGAACCGTTGAAACGGAAATGGTGGTTGTTCCAACGAGTTTGTGTTGTTGCTGTTCGAATCAGTGAAACACAGAAGGAGTAGTCGCGAGCTGGTTATTTATGGGTTGTGGCGATTCGATGAAGAACGCGTTTTGGGGAATGTTGCTGGGTTTTTGAAGTGGGTTATGAGTTGGATTTGTGGCGGAAGGGAGGATAACGGTGAAGCTTATGTGTTTGAAAAAATGGAAGTTGATGAATTTTGGAAAAAATGTTGTTGAAGGCATTGAAGGTTGGAGGAAAGTTTGAGTGGTTACGTGAAACAGATGATGTGGTTTTCTGGGCTTCGGTTTAAACAAGTTTGGAGAGTTTGGAAGACGAGTTAAGGGAGTGTTTGAAGAATGGAGAAATAGGTTTGCTGTTTGAACGTGAGATTGGGAGTTTGGAAATAGTGAAGTTGAGGTGAGTAGAGTTTGAAGTTAGTTGTAAATGGTGAGGGTTCGTTAGACTCAATGCCAGAAAACAAGACGAACCAAACAAACACAGATCAAGACTATGAATACAGAAAGAGTAACAGAATACTTACAGAGTAGGAGTAATACCACCAGATGGTTGATACAGAACACAGGTGAGCTCCTTCTTCAATCTTCTCTTTCTTCAGTTCTTTGTGATGGAGGTGAGTTTGTGAGAGAAAAGCAGCTGTTTTTCTGTTAGGGTTTTTTTCTTGCTGAATGAATAGTAACCAATATATATGGGGGCTTCATGATGTGAGATTAGGGTTTAGCTTAGAGAAATTGTGGGAACTTTGGGTCTGTTCCTCTTTGGGAAAGAAAGTGAGATACTTTTTGCAATGGGAGCAAGGGCTGAAGTTGTGGGATTGAAAACAGCATATTCTTTGTTTGTTTGTAGCTTTTGAAATTGTCTGTTTTTACTCATGATTTTCACTGTGGTAACACATCAATTTTTACTGATACATTTAATTTTTTGCAGGTTTATCAATGATCCAGAGTTTGGTGACTTTGACAAAGACAAGAAAGAGGGATGTTTCACTCCCAAGCCTAAGAGAGACCCAATCCTCTGTATATACACCATTTGACACACCATTGTTATCTCTTAATTCATGCTGCACAGATGATTCTGCTGGTCTTGTAGGGAGAAAAATCTGAAGTGAGGGATCCTCTCCACCAAATGCCAATGGATTGTCAACTAGACCACCATTTAAATCAATGTCAGATAAAGAAGATATAGACTCCACTGTGAACACATTTTTAATCTCCAGTACTTCTGTTGGCTTGCTGAGCAGTGGCTTTGCATGCTATGGAATGCCATAAGATGGTGGTTTGCCATCATTTTCCACGGGTGATGCATCAGGCATAGCCTGGACAACAGTTAATACTTCTCCTCCCAGCTTCATTCCATTCAAACCAGCACAAGCTTTGGTAGTAACAGAGTGATCTACATACTCAACAAAAGCGCATCTATTGCTGACCCTAGCCTCAAAGTGATAAGCCTTCAAAGATCCAAACACGCCAGCAATCTCCATAAGCATCTCCGAAGAAACGTGATTTGAAATTCTACCAATGAAGACCTTGTTTGGTGAATTAACTACAACATCACTTATTGTGACAGCAACTTCCACTGATCACTCTGGTTCATCAGTTGCAAATTCAACATAGTCTTTGGGGCGTCTAATTTTCACCATGGAGCCAAATAGTGTACTTCCATCAAACGAAAGGGCAGCTGATGCATCCTCAGCTGTAAGGAATTCCACCAGCGCTTGGCCCCTATCTTTATGCACAATGCAGCTGATGCATGGCCGAGTTTGTTGGACATGATTTACACTGGAAGAAAGCAGGTTATTGAAACAATCCATCACAACTTTCTCAGAGGCTGAACCTGGTAAATTCTCCAGATAAAGCCTTCTCATAGGGCGGGTAGCTTGTGTCAGGAAAATTCCCGAACGTTTCCTTGCGGCAAGGATTATCTGATGGATTCACAGGGTCCAACTCAGATGCATGTGGTTCTGGTGTGAGATGAGGAATTTCTTGCGGATTGGTTTCTGATTTATAATTTTCCTACGCTGACAGTTAGTACAATAAGCCTGTACAGCAAATCCAGCCACACCCTGTCCATTTTTGTCTGTTCAAATAATAAATTGTTTTAAGCTAATTCCATAATTGAGATTGTTTTATAAGACTGATAACTACTGTGATGGAATCTACAGATTTTGGTTAGCAGCTTATAAGCAAAAGAACTACCACAACAACAACAGGGCAGAGCACTAGAACCGACAAATTTCAGGATGAGCCATAATACATTTTACCTGAAAGAACTATCCTAAATGTTGCTCTGGTCACATAGCAAGTTTCATTTTAGTAGCTTCCATTTTGGATAACAGATTTTTAATCTCTGACTCCATTCTCCTTTTCATGTTCAAATACTCCAGATGTGCCCTCTCCAATGCTTGGAGTTCTTCAATCTTTTGTTTACGCAACTCATCCGTCTCAGTGAACCGCAATTTGGCAAGTCGACTGGTATACTCTTCTTCAATTTTCTCACTCTTTGCAAGGGCAATGCGTTTCAACCCTTCGGCTTCTCTCCTTGCATCATTAGCACGAGATTGAAACATTTTAGCCTCTGCATGTTTGATTTTTACTATACTTTCCAATTCATCAAAACCAAAGTCCTTTTGAACACTACTCATCTGCAACTCCTGCACCAGTGTCCTTTTATCATTCTGGTCAAATCTTGGAAGGACGTTTGGAGGTCTTTCTAATAGTGGTGGCTTTTCTGAATAAATAGATTTCAGCCAAGCAGCTTCCTGGCTGGGCCCAGCTACCCCATTGTTTTCTTTGACTTGTTCCTTCCCAGAAAAGTTTGTTGTCATGGTTAATTTGGAAGAATCACAATCAGAAAGGAAAGACATGATGTGTCTCAGAACCTCAGGAAGGTTAGACTTAGTCAGCCTCGGCAGTATTTGATCTGCAATCTCGTGCAACTGCCTCCCTCTTATATCCTTGCTAGCAGAAAAGATCCTTTTCACATATTCTAGTTCCTTGCGAAGAGATTCGGCTGACCACTCTTTTGAAAAACTTTGAAACACCTTTTTGACAAAGCCAAACATCTCGGAAGGGTGATCACAAGCAATGCAGTGAAACTGCATCTCAGTCGTCCCTTTAGTTCCAGTAGTATGCCCATTTCTGATATAAGATTCTCGTAATCCACAATCAGTGTGACACCAGTGAAGACAAACATCACACCCAACCCAACTACATGTGTTTGACGCGTTGTCAAACTTAGAACACACAAGACACATACATTCCCTGCAAAAACCATTCTTCTGCACACAAACCTTGCAATCACATTCATCGACAGGCAACTGACTTTGACATGTAACATTCCTACACTTCAAGCTTAGAAATACTTGAGCTAAATCAGACGATGAAATGTTATTATCATCTAGGTGAAGATAATGGGTTAAACCTGTTTTTAAAGCAACCAAAATTTCCAGTTGCACTCGATGACACTTCACTAGAACATCCAAGGTTATATCAGACCTGTTCATCAAAACCTTTTGAAAAGCAAGTATTTGTCCATGGTTATCTGAACTGAGCATGAATTCTCGAATACCCTCTTTCAGACGCGTTATGTACTGTGCATTCATTTCATTAAACTTTCGGGACATCGGAAGCACAGGTTCAAAAACTATTCTTGCAATGATTGTCCTAACAAAATCAAGTCCACCCATCGGAAATTGTTCTTGTCCCTTCTGACTGGTAGTTCGATGTAGACTACCACTGCTGCTTCTTTCCTATTAATAATCATAGCCATAGCCAAAGAAGCAATGGAACCCATATTTGCCATGTACTGAGAATGACAACCATATATGCTTATCTGTTTGTCTTCAAGGACTTTGACTTGTCTCTGATAAAGGTAACCACTTGGTGACTTGAATATAGCCTCCTTGATCAGGTTAAAAACCATTGGTAATTTTTTGTTAGACACACATTTCTTGATCCCCTGTGAAATGCAAAATGCTATGCAATGCAATGCTTATGTATATGCTGATGTAATGAAATAAAACATAAGCCAGAGAGGTCGGTCAAATTTTGGGGTACAACACCTATGTACTTTCACAGCAAAATCATGTATCAAATATGCAAAAATAAACAAATAACAAAAATGAGAAAATGCCAAATAAATTGAAAATCAGGCAAACATCAAATGTTAAAACATCATAAAGTCAAGAATAAAATCAGGAGCATGGACATATTTTTATTTTATTTTTTTGATGAATATTGAAATTAAAATGAATTTTAGAAGAAATTAGCAATTAAAATAAAATGAAAAAGAATTAAAAATCAAATAAGAAAATAAAATGCAGAATTAAATGAGGAGCGTTGGATGGTTGGACTGGTAAGCTAATCTGAGGTCTCATGCGCTGCCACCTCATTAATGAAACGACTGTGTTTCATTCCCAAAACTCAAATTCTGAAATTAAAACGTGGCCGTTGGATTGGAATACAAAGTCATGATCCTCAGCAGATCCAAGGGATAATACTTCATCTTCTCCATTTGAAAGTCAGTTGGAGGGAAACAGTCCAGCGGTGGCCGGAGATGACTTCCGGTCATCTTCTCCGGTGGTCCCTAAGTTGCAGGTCATGGAATCTTCATCAAAGCTCAAGAAACTTATGTCATTCTCTCTGTTTTTCCACGCTGATTTCAAATATGACCTTCAAATCTCCTAATTCCTTATAGATTTTGAAACACGATGGAGATCTTAAACTTCACATAATTCTGAAATCTCACCAAACCTTAATCTAAAACCATAGATATCTTCCTCTTGTTTCACTAATTATCCTGAACTATATAGATCGTGTGGAATCCTCATAATCAAGCCAAACCAACTCCAAACAGAAATCATACATCAACCTAATTTTTCTCTAAACCTCCAATTTATGATCCAAAATCCATCTAAGCAACTTCCTAAAGCCTAACCGCATGCTAACAGAAGCTAAATCAACATGAATCTAGTGCAATCTTGAAAACTACATACCTGTGTTAGAGCTTCAAATTGGAGCAATTGGAACACGATTCTCAGCTTCAAACTGTGCAGATCTACTCAAGGAAGTATGCTGAAGGTGTTTGTAGCCTTGAATTGCCTTGAATTGGTCTGAAATTGAAATCACGATTTCCACTTTCTCTCTTGAAACTCAACTTGCAAACTCTGGTTCTGGCACGAAATGATCTCCAAAATTGCTCTGAATCAATCATAAAACTTATATAGAAAGTGTTTGTGGGCTTTGAAAGTCCAATGGAGGCCCAAATTCAGAAATCCAATTTTCAAATTTCCTCCAAAATTCCAACCATAGTGGATGCGAATTTGCACTCAAATCTCCCCTTGGAAGCTTCAATTCTATTCCTTGTGGTCTGTGGAAAGTGTAGAAAGTGATTAGAGAGTTCAAACTCCTCTCATGACCAAGTTATGATATGTTACTTATTTGTGAAGTTACAAGTCAAACCACCATGAAATAAGCCTCAAGTGAAAATTCTAATAATGACAAAGTGTTTAGAATGATCTTTCTTATTAAAATGAGTACTCACTTGGCCTTGTATGAACACAAAATGAATTAATCTTGAATTTTTCACTTAAATGCCTTTAAATTCTCCCTTTTGCCAAATTTCTCAAACCAAGTCTCACCATGGGCCAAATCAATTCATCATGAGGACATGGTTGACCTAAAAACATCATTTTGAGCACGTTTTGTGTTGGAAAAAACTTCATTTGAAGCTTTCAAGATAGTGAAAATGACCTATAATGCCAAATGACCTATAATCTTACTTTCCCAAAATACCCCTAACTTGTAAACCTCATAACTTGAGTTCTACAAATCAGATGGAAGACTTCTAGTACAATTTGGAAAGCTAAGATCAAGACCTATAAATTTCATGTTGGCCAAAAGTTTAGAGAAGCACCCTTATAGGTCACAAGTTCCTTGGAAGTTGGTGAACTTTCATAGACAAATTTCACATTCCTCAGATGACCTGTAACTTGTCTGGACCATAAATTGAGTTCTATAAATCCAATGGAGGACTTCTAGTACTAAAATTAAAGCTAAAAGCATGCTCTACGAGTTTCATGTTGGACAAAATGGAGATGAAACTTGCATCTTGAGATAAGTGGTCTTGAAGTTAGGCACTAAATAAGGGATTTTACCCTGAGAACCCTAATTTAGCAACTCCTCACACTTGGGATTCTTTCTGGATTGATCTTGGAATATCACCTCATGTATCTCAACACAAATATCCATGATCACAAAGACTTAGAATTGAGTTTTGATCCTCTTCAATTGCACAGTTGACTTAGGATTATTCAGATGCAAACCCTAATTGCAACACCCTCAACTGTGGCTCCTCACCCTTGGCATGGTGACTTGATTGAGCTCCACCATGACCCTCAAGGCACTCTATGAGCTCTATACACACACTCTCTCCTTGATTAAGGCTCCACAACCCACTGATGATCTTCAATTGGTCCTCAAATTAGGAGATTAACCACATACAAACAACTGAACTTCTCAAGAACCCAACCCTCATCCTGATGACTTTGGTGACTTCTCAAGCTTGCATAAGACCTCTAGAAAGGCTCCTCTTGACATAAACCACACTTGATCCCCTGCACAAGTGAATAATGTTATGCTATGCAAATGTTAGATCAATGATATGCCAATGCAAGAAACATAAACCAAGTAAGAAAGGGTTAGGCAAATTTTGGGATGCAACAGCCGCCCCTATTCAAGCGGCTTGGACCTGACTGGATGAAAAGCGAACGACTTTCAGGCAATCGAGGTAGAAGACGATTGAATACCAAAGAACCCAGAAATTTTCTAACCGAAGAAACCAACTGCACAAACTGCTTGGGTAAAAAGATCCAGATAATTAGATCTGGTGGTCACGACAACAACTGATCAATCATCTGACACAGAACATGATTTCAAAATCAACCACCTATGTGACGCCATAGGCTTTGAATCCATATTATACGCTACAATAAGCGGGCACTGCATAAAGCGCAGAACTGTCAATGTACTATCCTTTGACCTTCCATTTCCGAAGAAATGGGCATACGCTACGTAAAGCGAGTCATCCCTGTACTATCTGGGATCTTCCATTTCCGAAGAAACAGACATCACACTAAATAAAAGCGCGGTACTGTCAAGGTACTATCTTTTGACCTTCTATTTCTGAAGAAACGAGCATCGCACTAACTAAAAGCGCGGTATCCTTGTACTATCTAGGATCTTCCATTTCCGAAGAAACGGGCATATGCTACGTAAAGCGAGTCATCCCTGTACTATTCGGGATCTTCCATTTCCGAAGAAATGGGCATCGCACTGAATAAAAGCACGATACTGTCAAGGTACTATCTTTTTCCCTTCCATTTCCGAAGAAACGGGCATACGCTACGTAAAGCGAGTCATCCCTGTACTATCCGGGATCTTCCATTTCTGAAGAAACGGGCATCGCACTGAATAAAAGCGCGGTATTGTCAAGGTACTATCTTTTGACCTTCCATTTCCGAAGAGAACTCTGTCGCTACGCTGACGTGACAGCAACTGGAGGAAACTCTGCCGGGGAAATTCTAATGACAACTTTGACGTGACAGCGACAGAGTTCTCTTTGGAAATGGAAGGTCAAAAGATAGTACCTTGACAACAACTTCAAAGGAAATTCTGACAACAACTTCAAAGTCTAATTATGAAGCCGTTTCAGCCATTCGAAGAAACTCCGTCGGGGAATTTCTGACAACAACTCCAAAGTCTAATTATGAAGCCGTTGTAATGCTGACGTAACATCCACCTGAGGAGAACTCTGCCGGGGAAATTCTGACGTCAACTGCCAGACATTAACCTTGACGACGAGTAATGACCTCAACAGTCTAATCCCTGAAATCTTTCTTTTGAAATGCTGACGTGACAGCAACCCGAGGAAAACTCCATTGGGGAAGAAGAGAAACTTAACCAAGCAACTCTGACGAGGGGACACATGACAGGACGAACGTTATCATCACATATCTCATGCCAAGAATTTGAATATCCGAAAACCATCCTGAACAAGAATTCCAAATACCTGCAGGGAAGAACGCCTGAAAACAAAGAGGTAACCAACCTGGCTTATGTTTTAAAATGCATATGTTGAAAATGGCGTAATGCTCCATATAAGATGGAATGCTACGCATTTGGGTAAATTGCTATGTAATGCAGATACGATGCAAATGCAGGCTCGGGCCACCGGAGAAAAGCTGGATACAGAACCGCTTCAGCAAAATAAATGCTGAAGACAAAGCCAACTCCGCTGGGGATAACCGGGTATCACAGAATTATCACAACAAAATAAATGCTGGAAAGGTGAACCGACTCCGTTGGGGAATAAACCATTCTGCCGAGGAATAGTTTTATGATCCGGAGTTACGAACTCTGCTGAGGATAATCAACCTATTGGAGGAAAGACAACCTGCTGGAGAAATAGAGAGAACAATCCTGTGCGGGGACGATCCTTTTCAAACTCTATGGGGACTTCACTAGGGATTAAATGTGCACATGATCATCGCTGGGGATGCACATTACTGCTTGACCGCTTGCTAACTCGCATACGACTCTTGTGGGGATAAAAATGCGACTTCCATCTATTGGGGAGGAATAAATTCACCTAGAGCCTGCTCCTACGTTAAGGGACTCTAGCTGGGGA